TTGGCTTAAACTTGAGCTTCGTCTTAATTAGACTAGACTCAGGCTTAGCCATAGGCACGGCGTAAGCTTATACGAAGCCTAGGCTTAGGTTTCGGGATAGGCTTAGGCGTAGGCTACGTTTAGGCTTAGATTAAGCTAGGCCTTAAAGGGCTGGAGAAAGATGGAATTGCTGAAAGAGCAAAGAGGGTCGAACCAGGGATGGTCCGCCCCGCAGTCCGATGCGCTAGCCAGTACACCAAAGAGTCCAGTGGAGAGGGGCGGCGGAGGGCCCCCAAATACCCTAGGGCGGTTCGCCACCTGTACAAGAACTGCCATTAGAAATGAAGCAATTTCATGGCGATAATAGCTGAAAAAATGTTGTAAAAACCTAGCTAAAGGATAGCAACGTACTTTGCAACTTTCTAGAGATGTTTTGCTGTCTATGCGCCTCTTTTTCAGCCGAAACAATGTCCCAAAACCCCGTATGGTTCAGAACTTGACCGCCTTTTATCCAATCCGGCTCAAATTTTTACCATCAATGCGTATCACTAAGTCCTCGATCTACCGAAATTTTTAGTTGAAAACATTGCTAAATTAAAAAGTTATAGCCAATAAACTGGTTTCTTCAAACGAGGGAGGGGGTTTTGGGGGCGCTTACGCGAGGGAAAGTGTCGATTGTAGCGCCGCGGCGGTCCGTCACCCCGACGGACGCCGGCCCATCTTCCCCCAGCCCTTTAAGCTTCTAAAGTTTCGTAAGCCCCTTCTAAGTCCACTTACCGTCTTATAATCCAACGCATCCTTCAGATGAACGTCTAGCGCATGCGTCAACCCGCGAAGCCAATCCCATTGCGTCGTCATCGTCCGTAGGTAACCCTTAAAATCAATTCCATACCTTAAAACGACCCCCTACCTCAATAACTTCAACCGCCGGATGTCCCTGATTGACCAGCGCGGCTCCCCTATTGTGCACCTCCGTGAACTGCTTCTCCCTGAGCTCCATCTCATGCCTGAGCTTCTTGCTGTGATTCTGGAGCACGGGAAGGTCAAGCCGATCGACGTCTCCCCAATCACGGGTGACCTCAATCTCCTCGCGTTCGGATAGCCAGCAAAGCTCGATCTGGGCGGCGCGGACGAAGGCGATCAGGGAGTCGAGATCAAGCATTCTGCCTGCAGAATAGTCGCGAAGCTGTTGGTACTCGCTCTCGAGGGATCGGAGGAGGTTGTAGTAGGTGTGGGTGTCCTCGGCGGAGACGTCGTTCTGAAATTTCGGCTGTGGCTTTGGAAAAGACCAGCATTAACTGGCTTAGCTTAAGTCTAAACTTAGGCTAGGTTAGGCTTAACCTTAGACTTAAGCTTTTAGGCTTTAGCCTTTAGGCTTCAGGCAGTAAGCTTAGGCTAGACTTAAACTTAGGCTTAAGCTTCAGCTTAAGGCTTGGCTTTGACTTAGGCTTAGGTTTAGGCTTAGGCTTAGGCTTACTCTAGGCTTGCTTTTAACTTCCAAACTCCCTACCTGTCTTGCAATACACTGATCCACCGACTGCCGATAGTCTTGAATATCCCTATTGTCAATCTTGTGCTGATCAAACGCTTCTTCTAGCAGTTCAAGCCCGTCGACAAAGTGGATGCGATGGATGCGATCCGAATACTCTCGGACCCATCTGATCGCCTCTTCAACTCGCGAGAAAGATGAAGCCCGGGCGGCTTCTGTGCGTCTGCTCTGCTCCAGGCGGATGGTTTCTGTGCGGGCGGCAAGTCTGTCGGCGATGCGGAACTTGAGGCGTTCGATGTATTGTTGGCGTCGTTGTTCGAGGGCGACGACTCTGGAATGGAGAATCGTTTAAATGTGATTTATCTCTGGGCTTGGCTTAGGCTAAATTTATGGTTGGCTAATTGCTTAGGCTGACTAAGCTGATTATGTGGCGTCGGGAGCTGGGGTTGGTTTTTGGGGTGGTGGGGGGGGGTGGGTGGGTGGTTGGTTGGGGGGGCTAGGCTGGCTAGTTTGGCTTAGGACTGGCTTAGAAGCTTGGCTGCTTAGGCGTAGGCTTGGGCTTAAGCTTAAGCTTAGACTCAGGCTTAGGCTTAGTTTTAACTACCCACTTCTTGCGATAAAACACCGCATCAGGATGTCGCAACGCGTCTAGCTCATCCACATCTTTGTCGAGCAGTTCAATCGGGTCGGAGAGCTGCGTGAGCACGTCGAGGAGCTGGTTTATCTTTGAGAAATTGGCATATCAACCGTAATAGGTATTTTCTCGTACCTTACGCTCCAATTCACTCGGTGGCAACCTTTCCAACACTTTCTCAAGTGACTCGATGTCGACGAGTACAATATCCAACTTTTCCCCGACAATTTCACAGCCCCGCTTCAGCCGACTCAGCAGATCGGAGGTGTTCGTCTAAAACGAGCATTACGGAAAGGTATCTAAATATTAACAACGACTAGCGGGAAGCCAAAAAAATAAATAAATAAAGGGAAAGGAAAGGCAAGGAAAACAAGGATAGGAGGGTAGAAAGACTATGCTTTTAAGCTTCAGCTTGGCTTAGGCTTAGGCTTAGCTTAAGCTTAGCTTTGCTTAGCTTAGGCTTAGGCTTAGCTTAAGCTTAGCTTTGCTTAGCTTAGGCTTAGGTTTAGGTTGGGCTTGGATTGGGAATATAAAGGGTAAGCATGGCTTTGGTAGGTAATAGACAGTGATATAGACACGGCAAGGCATGCAACCCAAGAAGCGGAAACGCGCTATATCTCGGCGTAGGAATATCGGATGGGAATGATTTTTATACCATTGGAAAGCTCTTGAAAAAGACGAGTATTTTTGTTTAAAAATAAATTTTGTGAATTTGATAGACAGATGCCTTTTTTAGTTAATTTTAAATAATCCTATTTCTCTGGTGTAAAGCCAAATTTTCTTTAAAGTGTGGGTGCTTAAATTTTTCCTGGTAAGGAAAAAACCTGGCCCAAAACAAGCAAAAATGCAAAAAAAGCTGATTAATAAGCGCTTTTTAGGTCACGAAAACACCAAAAAATCGGAAAATTTTGAAAAACAAACATTTTTTGAAATTCATACTGTAGAAAAAACCTTATAAAATTTAGGGCTTTAGCAAAAACAAAAAGTTCCAATGCTCCAAAAATCATTCCGCTCCGATACTCCTACCCCAAGATACAGCCCAAAAACCACAGCACGACGACACCAACAAGTACGGTTAGGGGTGCGAGATAAACACCTGTGCATGGGCCCGTTCATCCAGCAGGGCTTGTCGGCGGTCAATCGCAGCGTTGAGCGCCAGCCACTGGGCCCTGAGAGCAGGACCCTGGAGCTCGTGCTCAATCTCGATTTTGTCGGCTCCGATCTGCTCGAGGAGTCCGGCGTAGATGTGCTCCAGTTTCTCGAGCTCGTCGGCTTTTTGGGGTAGATGAACGGCTCGTAGTTGTTCAACCTCAGCCCATAGCCCTTCTGGAGTTCCGACAAAAAGGCGGCAGTCGGCTGCTTCAGTTGTATCGTGTACCCAGGTGAGCCATGACTGGGCCTCGTGGATGTACTCCGACTCGATGCGCTGTAGACGAACGGAGGCCAGCAGGCACTCGTGCCAGAACTGGAAGTGAGGCCCTGGGTCCCGGGTGGAAGAGGAGAGGGGGGAGAGGTGCTTTTAGAGGTTGTTAAGATTTTGCTATGCTAATTAGGATTTGATAACGACATGTCGAAAATCATATCGCCGAAATTTAAATTTTTCGAAAGGGATTATGTTCAGATGTCATTTTTTCGCAGTTTCGTTTTGTCGAAAATTCACGTTGTCAAAATCAAAAATTTTGGCATTTTGACACATCTGAGACCACGTTACGTTCCAATGAACACCCTGATGCTACGCGCCATCCACTTCACGACTTCATAAAAAACGAAGATATCTTTGAAAAACGTTAAATTCGTATTATAGCCGCAAACGAGGGGAATTTTGAAGGATCAAGCTACGTTACGCTTCAAATAACGCTTGGATACTGTGGGTTTTTGCTTCCGAAAAGACTGTATGGCTATCCGGTTTTTGCGATTTTTTGGTGTTAGGGTTAATCACGGCACTCCCAGGTATGCAGTGAGAGAGAGAGATAGATAGAGAGAGGGCGAGAGAGAGAGAGAAAGTCATAGAAGCAAGAATATCTCCCATGCAAAGAGGTACCCAGCTCCCCAGGCGGAAGTGGAGAAGGCGCTGCTTATATGATTCAAAAGAGATTATGCTATTCTGTACTTTGTAGCCCCTCGTACTCGCCCACCTTTGACAGCTCGGGGAGCGGGGGGAGGGCGTTGTGCAGCGACGACACGTAGGTGATTACCGACTTTTCGTCGACGTTCGTTGACTCGAAGTCCTAAAAATGGATTTGTAGGTTTGGCTTAAGTTAGGCTTAGGTTGGGCTTGGGCTAAGGCTTAGACTAGGCTTAGGCTTACCTCAGGGTCCATAAGCCGTGTGACTCCAAACTCGCGCTCGGCCAGAGCGAAGGCATGCTCGAGTCGTTCCAAGTTTGAGCGGCCGGAGGAGATGACCTAGAAAGGTAAGCTAGCAGGGATTCTTGAGGTTAGGCTTAGGCTTTGCTTAGGCTTGGCTTACTTTGCTTAGGCCTAACCCCCAAGTTTTTCCAATTTTTTCCAGCCCGACTCTTCTCCCTGCCAAAACGCCGCAATTTGCATACGAATAGGTTAGGCGGCGGCTGCGACCTTGTCTTGCGGTCCCCCTAAATCGCTCGCGTTTCGCACCCCTCCATTCCCATGTCAGCATTTAGGCCTTTTTTTGGGCGGTGGGGCCGCTCAACTAGCTCGCGTCAACAAATACACCCATCGGATCAGGCGGAATTTGCTGGGCGTTCGCCCCATCGCGCGTGAAACCAGAATCCAGGGCGTAACGCGGTTTTTGGGTGGGATAGAAAGTACATTTCAGAACTCTACACGCAGCGTGAAATCCGGAATATCTCGTAGATTACCACTGGAAGCTGATAAAGCTGATGTTACTCACGTGGCTCCACTGGACCAGATGTGGCCGGTATCGATGTAAAATAGCGTTGAACGCGAGGCCGTCTCTCCACGAAGATCCGAAATTGGAAACCCGGACTTGTGGGTAGCCATCCGTTGCCTGAAATTGTAAAATAGAGTGATCTTTAACCATGGAATTTTGATTTCTGCTCCCTTCGAGTTCTCAAAATTAGCATTGATGCTTGTTCCCGATTTTTTACCTGCCTGTGACTTTAAAGGACAAAGCAAGCCATGCCCACGGATTCTATAGATTTTGCCGTGTCGCAACAGGCAACGCTTTTGCTTGTATTTTCATAGCCTAATGGATTAACGGACTAATGGAAGCTAATGAAATCAATGTCCAGAAAATTTACGTTCATGCTTTGCCAGTACCTTTAAAAGTTCGTGCTCAATCCCGCAGCTTAGGCTAGGGCTTAGGCTTTGGCTTAGCTTAGGCTTAGGCTCGGGTTCAGGCGTAGGTGTAGGCTTACGCTTAGCTAGGCTTAGGCTCAGGCATCGGCTTAGGCCTAGGCTTCGACCTTGGCTTTGGTTAGGCTTAGGTCTAGGTCTCGGCTGGAGCTTAGGCTTAGGCTTATGTTTACGCTTAAGCTTCTCCTTAAGTTCTGCTTACCTCTTGGGCCCATTCCAACAGTGCCTCTCTGGCCGTCTTCCCAGTCGCATTCCCGTGCACCGCTTCGTAGGTCTAAATTGGTGGATTACCACGTATTTCGTCATCCGATCTACGACTCAATTTGCATATTTCCCATCCCTTGGGTGTGGTATTTGGCTGTCAGGCTTGTCAGAAAAGGGGGATTTGTGGGGGCTGGTGATGGCATGCTGTTACCAGCGTTTCCGAGTCGCTACCCTCACAGCGGTATTCAGGGCAACCGGTTTGCTAGCCAAGGGCTGGACGGTAACCCAAACCATCCCTTACAAAATGCTAGAAAACTGGATAGAGGATGACCAGGGGGTAAACAGATGGATTTGAATTCGGGAATCGGGAAGTATTAGGGTGATCTCTGTTTCTCTCGCTCTTTCTCTCTCTCTCTCTCTGTCTCCATCTATCGCTATCTCTAGTTCTCTCTATCTCGCTCTTTCTCTCTCGCTCTCGCTCCATCTCCCTCTCTGGCTCACATTTGAAGGATTTCACAAAATTTGAGGTCGAGATTGGACTGGCTAAATCTTGAATGAAAAGATTGTTCATTCTCTCTCTATCGCTCTCTCCCCCTCTCTCTCACTCTCCCCTCCCTCCCTTTTTTAAGAAGTTCACAGAATTATATGCCGTAATTTAAAGATTTAAATGGCTCTCTCTCTCTCTCTATCGCTCTCACTATCTCTCTCTCTCTCTCTCGCTCTCTCTGTCTTTCTCTCCCGTTCCACCCAATTCCAGGCCGACCAAAAAACTGGCTCGCTTTTTCTGTCCGTACCAGCTAAAAAGTAGGGGGGTTCCGCCCCAGCTGGCTATCAAAAGGGGTGGGCCATGGAGGTCATTCAGGGCGAGAGAGAGAGAGAGAGAGAGAGAGAAGAAAGAGAGAGAGAGCCAAGATTGAGACATCGCCCCCGGAACACCACCCGCAATCCGAGGCCACAAATGACCGGTATCTCCGGCAACCATCTAAAGGGGCTAGGGAGGGGATCCTCTATGGGTTACAGACAGCACTGTATAATAGCACCTTTTAGGGTCGAGGAGGGGGTCTAAAGGGAGTAAAAGGAAGGGAAGAAGAACGAAGGATGTGTCACAGGGCAAAAGGGTGATTCAGTTTGCCATGAAATGAAGGGGGGAAGAGAATGGTTGGCAGGGTGGAGTGATACGCGAAAATAGTACGAGAAAAGGGTAGCTGTAGCCAGGAATTTAGCGGAAATTTGTCTCGAATGGACTTTGCTGCGAAAAATTGGGGAGACTACGCTTAAAAAATTTCTTGGGGTTCCGAAACGTCCGGAAAATTGTCTAGATATCGATAGAATTCCCCGGAAATTTGTTCCGAATCGATTACGCCATCAAATCTGAGTTTAAGACAATTTGTAGCTTGACTTTTTTTGCGGAAACTCTTCAGAATCGGATGCGGTGTTTCCCGGAAACGTTCCGGAAAGCCACAGAACCGATTAAGACATAAAAAACTGGTTAGTAGTGAAACTGGAAGCTCCGGAAAGTTACGTAGTTCTTCGGGATCGATTACGTCATCAAAAACCTAGTTTTTCAGCTAAAAGAAGCCATTATGGCGTTAAATATGGATGAACCGGCTGTGCCGGTTAGTTACGGACGCAGAATTGCACTCGAAAAGCCGTCCGGAGTCGATTACGACGTTAAAAAGCTTAATTCGAAAGTTCCGGGATCAATAAAAACAACCAAAAAGTGATTCGGAATCGATTACGACGTTTAAATCGTAGCCGGAACGACCGAAAAACATATAAAAACGAGCAGCACCATGTGAAATTTCGGAATTCCGGATTACAACAAATTACGGCGAACTAACACGCTTTCGAGGAGGGAAAAAAAGCAAAAAAAAATTCATACCTGTCGATTCCGGCGCAACCTCTCCACCTCCTGACGTCTATGCGGTGGCGGTGGGGGTGGGTAGGATCTCTCCGAATATTGCCGACGATCAAGGGAGAATGAGCTCGTTTCTGAGCATGGAAGATCGTAGCCAGTAGTCATCGATCGGGAATAGGAATTTGGGGTCGAGGCTTCGGAAGACGGGGTCAAAGAAGGGATCCGTAGGAGGCCGAGACGACGCGTTGGAGGTGGGGGATGGCCGGGCGAGGGGCTTGACGACGGGCCCGAGCCGTCCAGACTGTCCGCCAGTGATGGTCTGTGAAAATATGGGCTTGAATTTAGACATAAATACATAAGCTTGGGCTTAGGTTAGGCTTAGGCTTTGGTTCAGACTTAGACTTAGGCTTAGCTTATGCTTAGCTTCGTTTTAGCTTAGGCTTAGCTTAGGCTTAGCTTAGGATTAGCTTAGGCTTAGCTTAGGCATAGCTTTGGCTTAGCTTAGGCTTAGCTTGGGTCTAGCTTCGGCTTAGGGTAGGCTTAGCTAAGGCTTAGCTTAGGCTTAGCTTAGTCTTAGCTTAGGCTTAGCTTAGGCTTAGCTAAGGCTTAGCTTAGGCTTAGCTTAGGCTTAGCTTAGGCTTTGCTTGGGATTCAAAAATAGGTATCGCCATTCGAAAAAGACCAAAAAATCGTAATTTAGATGTTTCTAATTTCGTACTTGAATTTCATAGCGTAACTGGCGCCTCAAAAGCTCTCAAAATTGAAAAAAATTGCGTCTTAAATTACGTGGCGTAATCGAATAGCTCAAAAATCAAAAAAAATGGCCGAAAAAATTCTAATTATCGCGCTACCTCGTCGAAACATGCAAATACTGCCCGGAGCCATTGTTCTCCTTCTTGCCCTTCTTCTTCTTGCCGGATTTCTCGACTTCTTCACTCCGATACTCCCTCCTAGCCGACGTATACGAGTGGAATAACCGGTGCATCGTCAAATGAGCGTAAAAATATAGCGCGACAAGGGCTAAAGTACCCAATAGAGGGGCAGGATTTAGCGTGAGAAGTAGCTGATGGTGGCAAGACGGATGTGGGATGGGGGCGGGTGGATAGGGAGGGCAGATCGTCGATAGCAGTGTCGCGTACACCCAACACCCAAACCCCGCCCCCAACAAGTCGAGAAGAACGCGAAGATGAGGCACCACAGCTGGTCTAGACCGATTTTTTGGGATTTTTTAGATTATCACGGAATAGTCTGTGCATTAATGAGAGCAAGGACAGGCTAGCAGCAGTCATTGAGGAATCGAGGGCAAGCTAGCAGAGATCATCGAGGAGGCTGGCTAGCAGCGATCATTGAGGAATCGAGGGCAAGCTAGCAGAGATCATCGAGGAGGCTGGCTAGCAGCGATCATTGAGGAAGGGCACGATCCACATTTTTTGGGATTTTCTAGCAGCAGGATCAGCATCGATTATCCTTTGAATTAAGGAAGACTGGAAAAAACAACAATTTAAAGGAAATCTTAAACCAAAAATGAAGGCGAGAATGTTTTTAGCGACATCAATGCAGAAGAAAAATTAGCGATTGGGTTTTTTGCCTTGCTAGTTCCTTTGCCATCGAAACGTATTTCTGGACTGTTTTTTATTATTTCTAAAGTAAACCCTTGTCGGACCCGAAGCACTGATATGTATTAGGATCCTCGATTACAGATATTGGCTCAAATTCTGCACAAAATTTTCAATTTCAGTGTCAATTCAAAAATTTGTCAATTTTGTGGCCTGACCCTTCATAGTCCCTTTAGCAGCGTCAGAATAGCATAAGGGG